TCTGTTCGTATCAGTGCGCGCCGTCATTCAGACAGCGAGCCCAACAACAGCCATGTCTCCCTCGGAGGGAGTTTTATTTCGCTGTTCCTAAAAACCTGCCGGACTACTTTCGGCTAGACCAAAACTGGACGATAACTCTGCTCACAGGACGCTGCCAGGGGTAAGTCAGTGTGATTGCATGCCGCTGGTGATGGGGATGCCATACAGATTCATGTCAAAAATACCGAACTATCCCTTTAAAGACAGTTAACAGAGACAGTCAATGGATGAGGCTGTGCTTGGATTTAACGGGGGAAGGATCTATTTTAGTGCAACAGGTTAAAAGAAATAAATGCAAAATATATTTACATCTCAATTTGTCATGTTTAGAAAAGATTGACTCTGAATCAAGACAAATACGGAGACAGACAAGTAGTTTTGATGAAATTTATTGAACAAGTGAAGAAGCGGTGGTGGCGGGCTGGCCATGTCTAGTTGGAGGTTGAGGCTTGGCTCACGCGGACACCACCCTCCCTCCTGGGGAGGTTGGTGATAATCTGGTGGTTCTCTTCATTATGCAGATGGTGTTGAAGGGTGGACAGGCAGGTGAGATCAGGAAGGAGGACAAAAGCAGAATGGCAGTCAAAGGATTTCTTTGATACCTAGGAGGTCCAGGTTTGGAGCTTCTCAGGCTTGGTTCTTGGAAGGAAACAGAAACATGGAATTAGGAACTGGCTTGGGGGTTACGTGGGAAAGACTTTAGTTGGCCAAATACCACACTGGAAACCAGGAGTAGGGTGTCAGAATAAGAAAGGCTCTAATTAGCAGTGATGGGGAACACTTGCCTGTCACACCCTGCAGAGAAGAGAGAGAACCCGGGCCTGCACCCAGACCTGAGAGTATGACACAAATTTTAATTCAGGGGAGAATCGGTGGAAGCTTTCTATGTGACTATTTTTCAATTGGGGAACCAGGGAACTTCCCCAATTGACTGTTGTTCCATTTGTAGATCACTAACATAAGATTCTTCCTGATCAAAATCACACTCCTAGACCTAACTGTAATAATGTATTTTCTAAATTACATTTTTTGTAAAAGAAATAAGTTTAAAAAAATAAAAAATAAAGCAAAAGTATACTAGTAAGTATTAAGTTTTATATATTTAGAAATGTTTACACATTTGCTAGAAAGGCTGCTTTTTTCCTTTGGATAAAAGAGTGCCTGTCTGAATTGTGAACATAGTATAGTTTTTAGCCTATATAAAAGCTTTTACTGACAGGGCCCCCACATATTTAGACATATTGAGCAACAAAGCAACCCCTCCCCCGTACACACATGAAACGCCCTGCTGTGTTCCTTTCTCAACATGAAAACGCTGCTGAAAAATTTTACATCTCTTCTCTCTGTAACTCAGTTTAACATAGCCTTCCTTTTCATGAAAATAGCTATAAAATGCACAAATAGGAAATAAATAGATAGAGAATAAATACATCTTAAAATAGTTTAAAATATACAAAAGAATATATAATTACAGATCTTATAAATGCTGTATTTCATGTTATGATATAGTTTAAAATTATATTTTGTTTAAAACTGTATAAAACATTATTTTTTTTCAGCAGCTAAAATGGTCAAATGTGAGAAAATGTCTTGAAAGTGAGCTTTCTGCATGTTTTTTTTACTGACTGTGTTTGGGAGTGTTATATGATACAGAATTGGACTAAAAAAGTCTATTTTATTTTCTGTGAAGGATTTTACTTCAAAAATAATTTTATTTCATTGAAACGTTGACTTATGTTAAAAAAATTCCCTAATATTTTTCCTAATAAAAATCTTACCTAACCCCTAAAAAAGCAGTGGGTTCAGAGAAACGGCGTTAAGTTCAGCATCATCAGAGAGAAAATACATTTTTTTAAGCACAACTTATGCGGTATTTTGCAGGATTGTTTCTGCTGTGTTTTAAAGATTTGTTTTCTTCTCAAACCACAATTAGCATCCATTTTTAGTGTGTGAAATGTAAAATTGTCTGTTGGGTTATAATAGAAACAAGAAATGGTTAAAGCCGTAGGAAAGTGGCTGTTCCATTCCCGTGAACACTGGGACGGAACTCAATGGTAAAGTAAATCATTCTTATTTCTTATTTCAAACATTACTGCCTGCTTTTCTGTTCTGTTCAATTTAGTTCTGAAACTTTCCACTGTCTGACTCGCCTGAATTCTGGGTAAATCTGTCTGGTTTTATGACACCTGAAAAATGTTTTATTATACTGTATGCACTTTTTATAATAAAAAAAAAGAAACAAAAAGAAACTATAAAAGCATTAAAAAAAACTATATACTACTTGGTTTAAAGAATAATATTTTACTTTCAAGCAGGCTACTGGTGAGAGGCAATCATTTATTTAATAGTTTGAAGGTTATGTCATAACTCCCCATAAAGGTCTCAAGCTGTAGAACCATTTCAACATTTCACCATTCCAATTGCACAGCCCACTGCTCCTGCTTTTTCTTAAATGCTGTGACTTTACTGCAAATGTTTGATGCTGTTTTGGTGAAACTTCATTGCCGACAGTAACTGGTTCTGAGTAATAAAATTACTCTTTAATGTCTGGTCAGAAGCTACATTCAGTTTGCACAGTCATATTTTTTCTAATGA